TTTATTAAATTGATATCAACTACAAGTATGCTCATGCAATAATTAATTTTAATTTGATATTGCAAAGCAAACAACAATTACATTGTTTATTTAAGAGCATAATAAAATAATTTGGGACAATCAGAACTTTTGATGTGGGAACTCTGCTACATGCTTCACACCAAACGCTTGAAAATGCTTGAGGCAATGGGTGGTTAACGGCCTAAAGCAAACATTGTTAGACCACAGATAAAAGCGAAAGATATTTGTTTAAGCATCGTATTCTGTTCTCTCTCTCTCTCTCTCTCTCTCTCTCTCTCTCTCTCTTACCTACCTACCTATCTATCTATCTATCTATCTATCTATCTATCTATCTATCTATCTATCTATCTATCTATCTATCTATCTATCTATCTAATCTATCGTATTGTGTGTGTGTATAAGAAAGTGTATATATTAACTGGATTTTACCTTTTACCGAGTGAAAAAAAACTTTAACCGTGTACATAGATATATATTCTACTTGGATTTATCCTTGGTGTTCCTTATAAAGGAAGTTTATATAGAGAGAAGAAGAAGGATGACGGGTCAAAGTCGATCCTACAAATAAAATACCATGAAACCTAAAAATGTACTCATCTAAAGTTCAAAACGTCTTTAGAGAAAGAAGAATTTGTAAATTTCAACACTACACCAATATCAGACTTTAATGAGTAATTGTGTTGACAGTTGTTTTAGAATCCAGTCATTTGAGCATTTCATTACGCCAATTACCAGAATTGTCAATACATTCCTGTCAGAGATGCGCATTAAATGAGTCAATAATTAGCTAAGTAATAAAATCGAACTGCCATTACATTGCAATTTAAAACACAGACTTACGATCGTTAACACTAACAAGTATTTCAATAGTTTGCCATCCTTTTAAAAGTAATTATAACTTCTCAGATTTTCTTTTATTGACATCAAAAGTCGATGCATCTCACATGTCTCAGATTTCATAATTACGCGTTTGCTTCAAAGATAAATGTGGTATGACAGATCTATATATTGGTACAATAACAATGAAATATCTCCCCCGCTGCAAAGAAACGCCATTTTGGAGTAGCAAGACAAATCATTTAGTTACATACCAAATAAATAAAACGTATTGTTGTTTTTAAAAAATCTATTTGAAATCATGTATTCAGTTTGATGTCCTATTTAATAAAAGTAGGAGTTAGTCTTTATCTTGTGTTAACTTTCTCTCTCTCTCTCTCTTTTTTTTTTTTTTTTTTTTTTTTTTTGCTGTTTTATTAACATTTAACCCTCATTTTTTTATTATTGAAATGAATCCATATTTCCTATTTTTCAAAGAATAGTTTCTGTTTTCCTTCTACGAAATAAGACAAAAAAAATAGTCCACAGTGATCGTGTAACAACGTTGCTGTTACGGGAATGAACGAGAACGAATGTAAAAGGCTCCGTTACGGGAACTTACAAAGATATCGAAACAACAGACAGTGAACGATGACTGGTTACCTGCCTCAAAACAAAAACCCACTGACAGAAATAACTCATAGACTAGAAGAGCCAATACAATACTGACTTATTGTTTTATATTCTAAAACCACATCTGGACCCTCGTGTATATGATATAGCTTTTTCAATATCAGACACCCGTATCAACCCTCAAGCAATAACATATTGGTGACCCGAAGGTTTGATACGGGTATGATATTGAAAAAGGCCGTTATATTTTTACGGGTCAATTCAAGAAAAAAACCCAATCTCTTGAAAGTTTTGCACACAATTTAAGAAAACGATAAGGGCTTACTGAATCCTTAATAAAATGGAAATGAAGATATTTAACTTATCTATAACTCCATGACTTTCGAATTTAAAATTTAAATGTTTGAAAATATTGAATACACACAAAAGAAAATTTGAAGTACCCTTTCAGTCCATATGCCTGGAATAAAAAAATCCACACAGATTTGTATTATTTTTTTTCTGTCGCAATACTGTGCTGGTTAACTTCACGAAAGCTTTTTTATTATGTTCAGGCACTTTTATTTGATTGATTGTTTGATTTTTTTTTATACATTCATATATATATTTGTTTTTCTATTGTTATTATTTTGATGTTGTTGTTCTCATATTGACAATGGTAATATGTGTGTCCGTTTTCTATATTCAACTTTAAAAAAAAGTGCTTTATATGTTGTTTTTTTTTAACACGGAGAGCTCGTAAACATGTTAAACCCCGTCTCATCCTTCTTATATCTGTCCTCAGTTAGGATCCTGTCATTCAGGGGTTGTCTTTCTTTGCTATCTGCCATATTTGTTTTTCGCTTGTTTTGTTAGCAGAGAACAGATTGTTTTAGTCGTTTGAATTGTTTCCAAGTTTTGTCATTTCGGTGTATTTTTAGCTGACTATACGGTATCGGTTTTGCTCATTGTTGAAGTTGCTTACATCTACGTCCTTTGATAGTTCTTTGTAGATGGTGTCTCATATGCAACATCTCCCTATTTCTATATTTCAGATCACGCAATGGAAACTACGCAAAAAATAATTTCATGATATTTTCTAATTTAATACCGAAATATCAAAATTCTAAATAGACAAAAAGTACAAAGTTAGTAATTTACCGTATTTTCTTGTGCGTCAATTACTAGTGTTTAGTAGTGTTACTGAGAGCGCTCTGGTTCTCATCATGAACTATGATAGTTTTTCATTTACGCGAATAAAATGCAACTTTATGATGTATTGCTTTTATGTAAGTTCTGATCAACAATACGTAATAAAAACTAGATATATCTCAAGCTCTTACTATTTAAAAACAAATTACATTCAGAAGAATTATCTCATCATAGATACCAGGATTAAACTTGCGATTCGTCTACAAAAGACTCATCCGTGACGCTCGAATCAAAAACAGAACTAAGTTGTTATATATAATAGCATATACAATGAATAATGTACAATCAGATAAAATACATATAAGACAATATCAGAGTTAAACATTGTTACCCTTTAAAACAATTCATATTTCATGAAAGACATAACAGCATTATATAAGAAACAAATTGTACAATTCAAGTTAACATCAATCATATTGAACACGCAAATCACAGTAAGCTTAATTTTCTAGGATCGAAGACCTGTAAATGTGCGTTTCACTGAACAGCTTTTTACTAAACTACAACATGTATATACATGTTAACTCACATGTGAATCTGCATGATAAAAAAAAAATCCCCAGCAATCAGTTTATTTTGTCGTAAGACGGTAGCTCTGTGAAGCATTGTTTAATTGTTCTTAAATGATAATATCATATACTTTTGGAATTAATTTTGATTCGCTTAAAATTCAGTTTAAGATAAGACTAAAATGGTTCTTTTCTTTTCTTTTTTGGAATTCAACTTCAAATTCAAATTTGCTCTCAGTATGGTATTATATCGTATCTTTTTGCTCTTTTAATCCGAAAGGTTGACTGGGGTATAGAAATATGGTATTTTCCTGACCGGCAATAAAACACATGACAAAGTGGGGCGTCCGTTTGGCTGTGCGAGATGTAAAAAATTCACAGTAACGTTCGTACAGAATGGGGACTTTTGATCCAATGCTACGTGTAGAGAGAATGTCACGCCCTCTGCAAGCTACAAACCTGGCAACATCTTGTTGAGGTGTCCTGTTGCAAGGATAAATTTCTTTCCTTATACAATATACCCTTATATTGTTTTCAAGGGGCATTCCAAATTACACGCCTTTCATCCCGATCAGCCCTATTGCAGGGCCAACCTATTGTATCAATTGTTTATTTGTTTTCGTCCTGAACATGCATCAAATATTTGCCATTACCTAAGCAATATATAGGTATATTGCAGGACCTACCTACTGTATTATTGTTTATTTCTTCTCATCTTGAATATGCATTAAACCTTTGCCACTGGACTAAAAGCAATCAATCAATTAATATTGTAATGTTCGTGACGTAACAATGCAATAACGTAACGAAGACTTACTTTTGATATTGTATTATTGAAAAGTAAAATTGGTTAGAAGTATACAAAAGCCAGGAAATATTTTCAGTTTGCGGCAGTGAACAGTTTTCCCTGTGTTTAAATTAGGCAATAATTTGGCCATAGTTCATCTAATAGTGACCCAAGGCAGATATTCCAGCAGTAGAAAATCTGATCGGAAGTACAACAGGCGTACGAATACATGACTGTGTTTTATCTTTTTATCAGCAGATTCAGTAATTATCTCCTTCTATTACCTCATACGGTATAACTTAGTACTGCTTTATATGTGCCAAAGTATCCTAATGTCTGTTATACCGAAATTGAACAATTGCCTCCTTCCGTTGTTTGATACAGTATAACAAAGTATTGCAAAGTATCATAGAATCAAGACCCTTTTTAAAAAACCTTTATCATTTGAATGACAATATGCCACTGTAGTCAATTGGTTGTCGTAGGTAGCTGTCCGTCATAACATTTTTGGTTTAATTTCATTAGTTTATATCAGGCCGTTGAATGCAATTTTGAATTGTTTTGAATTTTGTTATCCGGGGCCATTTATTATAGCTTACTAAAAGGTATGGGTTTCCTTCATTGTTAAGGGCTTGTTGTCAATTTCATCCTTGCCTTTTGTCTCATTAGCAAATATATAATGTTCAAGTTTTCATCATTGTGGACTTTTATGCAGAGAAAAAAGTCAGGAAGACCAAGTCAAAATCTTTCTTATGCCCTTCGGGTCTCAATGCCAGTAGAACCACGAATTTACGTCCAGACAGATTAAGAAACGGCAAGTTAATAACACTATAATTTCATTTTTTGTTTCAATATATTGATAAACTATAGCTGCTAGTAGAAAACTGATTCATATTTTCCGTTTTGAATATGAATATTATTTATGATTCTGTTTAAAAGTAAAATCACAAAAATACTGAACTCCGAGGAAAATTCAAAACGGAAAGTAAATCATCATATTTTTAGTACATTTGACTAAGAAAAGGTTAATATCTAGCCTTGCAAGCAACCGGTTGCATATTGAATAACGACTATAGGACCACCTGCTTAACTCACATTCCATCCTTACAAGCAATCTAGCATCAAGACATTTGTTGCAAGTTGAATACTTGCATTATACTTTAAATTGCATGTCATGTTACTAGATCATAACTAAAAAAAATATGTCAGTTAACAGAGTATAAAAATACTTTTTCTGTTTTATTCGCAACAATCAACGTATTTCTGATCTTACTAAAATGAATCGACCATGGTTGAGAGAGACCTTCCTTTCGAGATAACAGTTGTCGGTGTCGTTTTCCATCGGGAGAGATCATTATAAGATTGTTTGAGTAATCTCCTACAACGTAGATATTACCATCATTATCGACAGAGATACCTCTTGGTGTCTGCAAAACGCTTTCATTTTGAAATCTCCATTGTATTTCACCATGTAGATCATAACATGTAACGGTGTTCTCCTCCGGATTTGTATGATAAAGTTTGTCGCCAAATGTTGTTACATAGCAGTAAGGTGGCATTTCCCCTCCGACTATATCGCTTACTCTCTCGTCATTTGGATTGATCATTCGAATTCCTTGATAAGACCCAGAATAAACTAAATTGGATCCATTATATGTTATTCCATAATTATACCCATTTACAGAAATAGTTTTCTCGACTTTTTGGTTTTGCATGTCAATAATGCAAATACACTTGTAACCAGAATCACCACATGATACAGCCAAAGTATTGTTTTTTGTAATGTGTGTTACATCAAACGCTCTTCTCGACATTTTCACACGAAAATCCAGTGATCCATTTGCGTTCAGCATGATTACAGTATCACCGAATAGAGCATTGTTGGATAATACCATCCGTCCATCTGGTAGCAGATATGTACCAGTAGTGTTTTCGTGTATGATTGTGTTTATGGTCTGTTGTAACTTTAGACTGATATTTTCAAACGATCTTGATAGTAATTCTGTTACCATCATTTGAGCTTGCTTTTGTTTGTTCGTGCTAAGCTCAATGTCGGACAGTTTACTTTCAACCATGATCTTTCCAAAATTTGGGATACCGGATATGAGATTTTGAATTGCAGTGTTGATATTAAATGACAGAACAATCTGCTTCAAATTCTCGTTACTGGATATTGAATTAAGGTATTCATTTTTGCCAGATACCTCCTTTTCAATTCGTTTCATTGACACAAAAGTCTGAAGATCCGACGCATGCTGTTTGATATCTGAAATACTCCTCTGCAATAACGAAATCTCTTGTTGTTTATCCTCTAAAGAATTTAACAGTTGACGGATTTTTTTACTCTCCTTGTCTTCCGATGCATATAGCTCCTTTATTATATCTGCTTGTATTTTGTCGATATGATCATTGATTGCTGATTTGGTCTTTTGGATTTCCTTCTCAATCTGCTTCCGAGTCTCAGGTAAAGTTTTCAGATTGTTTTGTCGGTCCTGTCGGATTTTTTCAATATTTTCAGCGACTTCCTCTAATGTCTGCTCAATCTCATAGAATGCATTTGACGATTTGACGTTATTAATGACGTCTTCTAATTTCGAAAATTGCTGGCATTTGTTGTGACTTTCTACGATGCAGTTCCTACAACAAGGACATTCATGCATCTTGCAGTAAATACTGAATTTTTCATCGTGCTTGTCGCAGAACTGACTAATCTTTACTACATCACTAGGTAATTTATGATATTCGTTAATTGGTATGACGGTATGATTTCGAGTTCCTTTAGATAAACTGTGGTGTTCCTGACAACCTTCGCAAAGTCCTTCATCACATTCAGTACACCAGACCACAGAAAGTTTGGAAATATGACGGAGATCACAAACACCGCAATTTAAAGATGAAGTCGCCATAATAAGATAGAGATCGTTTACCCTGAAAATAAAATATTTTAGTGAGAGGCAGTCATAAGAAATCATCGCTTTATTCTTTATATTGTAACTCTTTTTCTTATTCAAATTCCACAGCTGATGTATTATTTTTTGCGTAGTTTTATTTTGTTATGTAGCCAATGCGTCAGACTGTAGATTTTGAAAGAAGGACCTGTGATATAACTTATTTCGAGATAGTTAAATGAACGGTCCGTAAAAGAGACAAAATTTGTCATTTTGGATTGAAGCTTGTCTTATTTCAATTTCTTACTTGTATAATTGTTATTGAACATCAGCTGCAGGATGCATGCAAATAGTAAACAAAAGTTATCACTAAACAAATTGTTTTATCGTTATTTCATATACAATTTTAGTAAATAAAGATGTTAAGTTTTGTTAACATTGCTGGATTAATGATTTTAGATTGCTCTTTTGTCACTTCTCTCTCTTTTTTTGCTGAGGGTATAAGTTTTTCCAGGAATTGTCTATGTCAAATTCTGAAAAAATAGCGTCCGAAACTTTGAAAAGGGCCATTTAGTATATTGGGGAGACATAGTTTCTTTCACTCCCATGTGTAACAGTTCTGACATTCAAGTGATATTTTTTTTCTTTAAGCAAAAAGTTAAAAGAAACTGCTACTTTCGTAATATATCAGAATCTGGCTAAATCATTCCTGGGAGCCAAAATCTTTTCAGTCCGAAATGTGAATAATGCAATTCTATGCAAATACCCATATTCAAATTCCAGCATTTTCACAATAATTCTGAATTTTAGAGTTTTTGTTGTCTTAAAATCAATACATATCAGATAATATTGCACTTGGATTTAAAACGCAATTCCTGGGATTTTGAAACTATATGTAAGTCAATAACTTTCAGAAAAATAACAATCTCATTGTATAGAATATATAACTTAACAAGTCTGTTTGTGGAAATTGCGATAGTTTATACTTTTTGTTTGAAAAATGGAAAGTATGTAGAATTATTGATAATAATGGGAAAGTAAAAAAATTGAAATCCAAAAAGCAACAGGAGACTGAAACTACTCAAAACGATCACGAAAAAACCAAAATTTTTCACAAACAAATTTGATATTTGGATGAGATAAGAAATGAAAATAGATTTAATTTGAATGTTTAGATAAGTCACATTTCATTTTGGGAACTAGCTTAAATAATTTTCTGTCATGCATTCATTCATGGCTTTGGGTCAGAAGCATATGAAGAACATACAATATACTACTGTGTACAGCTTGTTTTTTTTTCTTTTCATCTTAAGTATGTTCATCGACCTGCTGGCATCCGTTTTATATAGCTTTCGCAAATGATTTTTTCTTACTTTCTAAGGAAAATTTGAAAGTTTTTGAACTTCTTATTTGAGTCCTTTTGTTAATTTGTGATCACAGTTTTTGCTATTTACGTCTTAGCATCTGGTGACAAAAATAATTCCAAGAAGTAATTAGAATTCAAAAGTTGAAAAACAACAAAAATTAATTAGATTTTTTGGCTATTATTTGATTGGAGTCCAATGGCAAATATTTCATTCAATCTTTGTTCTGTGTTATATTTTGTTATTGGTGTTTGTCTTTTTGTCGTTTTTCTTTGCGGCTATGCTATTCTTTGTTTTTATTGGAATTATGATTTTGGATTGTACACTAGGTAATTTTTTTTAAAATTTTTGTCGAACAAAAATATTAAATTGTTAGACAATATATTGTTTATATTTCTAAAAGATGGGATTAAAACCACAGTCGTAAATGCATCAGATGTTTGTCAAGCCAATTTGAATTGTCCATGATATAGCATAATATAGTCTATTAATCTATCTTCTAGTCCAAAAATATTTGAAAGGTTTGTATTTTATCATATTCAAAATGTATGAAACGGGTGAGATACTGTACTGGATGTCTCAGCTTCTAACCCAAACAAAAAGGATAAGTTGCCACACTGCGGAATCAAAGAGCTAGTCCGTGTAGAATGGCTGACCTTGTATGTTACATAAACAATTGAGTAACATGTGCGCCGTCATTTTATGAAGATTAACATGGTTTTCAGAATTTAGAGTATGGCTAATCCTGATTGGTCGTTGTGTGCAGCTGATATTTTTTATTACTGAGCACTCATTGCACCCTGTATTTTGCCAAAGGCAAATAATATATTTTCCGCTAAAGAAACTAAGCAATCTTTGCTACGTAGCTGTGACGAGACACGTATTTCTAAGTGCATATTTGATAGGCAAGGGAGATAAGAACAAATTGCGTAAAGAAAAACCAGGGGAACCTATATTTTTTAACTAAAAACTGTCCATATAATTGTTTCTTCAATTAGGTCTTTCCACTTTTCTGTGGAAAGACCTATTGTTTTTGTTCTGATTATTAGGTCTTTCCACTTTTCTGTGGAAAGACCTATTGTATTTGTTCTGATTATTATTATTTTCTTCCTCCAAATTTTGTTCTCGCGTAAAATTTTTGTTTCGCAATATGTCGCTAAGATATTTCTTATATAGTATCATACAGTTTATGCGCTTTTTATTTTCACCCATACTAAGCCGAACAATTTTCTTTGTAAGAGTTATCTCCCCGAACACTGTCTTCCTTGTGACTACATCTCCTCCGTAACCGTAAAAAAAGCGACAAATTTTTTTTATAAAATTGCTCGTTATATCCTTCGCATGATTTGTCCTATTTTGACCGAAGCGATATGAACACTCCATATGAGAATTATTTCCCCTTTTGTATTTGATATAAGTGATATGCATTTCTATCTTGTAAACCATAAGTGATAGAGACCTAGGATCTTTTGATTTGAGGTCCTTGGTAAAAAAAAAAATGAAAATTAGGTAAAGGTCAAAGGTCAAGGTCATATTCTTAATTTTGATTTTGGCTTATTTTCACTTTTTTCCAAAAACCGTATAATATATCGACAAATTAGTTTTACTAAACTGTTAGTTGCGACATGTCGTAACACGTAAATTTTGATTGCAAGGGTACGTTGGACATAAAAAAGAGTTTTCTCCCCTCTTGTATTTAAAAATACACGTGTGGTGATATAACTCATTAACCAAATATAATTAAGACCTATAGTCATTTGATTTCAGGTCATTGGTTTATGACCTTGAAATTGATCTCAAGGTCATAGCTTAATTTGACGTTCTAGATTTTGACCTTTACTTTAACCTCATATGTATACATGATAAAGCCATGAAACTTTTTGCAAGAGGTTTCAAACCATTTAACCTTGAAAGAAAAACAACCGGAAGTGACCTTGTGTAAACCGGAAGTAGCTATTTTTTGTACTTTATTGATATAAAAGTATATAGAACCAGATATTTTTGGAATCAGTGTCAAGTAAATATTCAAATAGTATCGGAAGTAACATTTTTCAAACCGGAAGTAAGAAATTATCTCTCTTATTTAAAAACATATTGCATAGAAACCATATATTTTCGGAATCAGCGTACAATAAGCTATCATTTTGACGTTTGAAATGACATTTTAAACCTAATTTTACTTCTTTCATATCAAAATACATGTTTTTTTGGTGGAAAGACCTTCAATTGTTCTCTGAACAATTGGTTTTTAATTATTATTATTTTCTTCCGCCAAATTTTATTCTCGCGTAACATTTTTGTTTCGCAATATGTCGCTAAGATATTTCTTATATAGTATCATACAGTTTATGCGCTTTTTATTTTCACCCATTTTAAGCCGAACAATTTTCTTTGTAGGAGTTATCTCCCCGAACACTGTTTTCCTTGTGACTGCATCTCCTCCGTAACCGTAAAAGAAAGCGACAAATTTATTTTACCAAATTGCTCGTTATATCCTTAGGATGTTTTGTCCAATTTTGACCGAAGCAATACGTAAACTCCATATGAGAGTTATTTCCCCTTCTGTATTTGACATAAGGGATATATAAATGTATAGCATGAATGGTAAGTGATAGAGACCTAAGGTATATTGATTTGAGTTCCTTGGTTCATTTAAATGAAATTGAGGCCAAGGTCAAAGGTCAAGGTCATATTCTAAATTTTGACTTTTCCTTGTTATTTGATCTCCTCTGTCACTTTTAAAGATACAAATTAAAGAACAAGTGCAAAATGTTTGCCTAATTATGATTAAGATATGATACATTCGGTCTGAAACAATCCAATGACATCTTATAGGAGTTATTGTCCCTGAAATGATTCAATTTAAGGTTAATTGATTATTACTCCAACTTGCTACATGATAAAGCCATAGGGTCTTTTGCAAACTGTTGGTTGACATATGACCTTGAAAAATGTCAACCGGAAGTGATCTTGAGTGAACCGGAAGTAGTATTTTTTGCACTTATTTCATGGAAAAGTACCTAGAAACCATATATTTTTTGAATGATCATAGGTTAACCTATCTTTTGAGACCGGAAGTGACATTTTATAAACAGGAAGTAGCATATTATCTTCCTTATCACAGGCATAAGTATATACAAACTACATATTTTTGAAATCAGTGTGAATAAAGCTATCATATGAGACCGGAAGTGACATTTTCTAAGCCGGAAGTTGGCAATTATATCCCTTATTTCAGGCAAAAGTATATAGAAACCATTTATTTATTGAATCATTCTAAATAAAGCTAATATATGAGACCGGAAGTGACATTTTCTAAGCCGGAAGTTGGCAATTATCTCCCTTATTTCAGGCAAAAGTATATAGAAACCATATATTAATTGAATCAGTATGAATAAACCAAAGCTTGGACGCAATAGTAATTTTGAGTAAACTGGATGTAGCTTCTCATCAATAATTTAGAACATTGATGTGGAAAGACCTTCAATTAATCTCTGAACAGTTGGTTTTTAATTCTACCAAGGTTTCGTTCTAAAATTACGTTTCTATAGGCTATATCTCAAAAAAAAACTATTCGCCTATGGAAAAATCAATTTTACTTTGCGATCTGTTAGCAATTAAAGAAGTCAGAGTTGTTCCCTCTTTGTCACTGTCGTATCGTTAATGTATAGTTACTTAACTTATGTATCTTATTATAAGATGGAAGACGGATTGATTAAGTATATAGAATTTATACAAATAATTTGGGATTCATTTATCTTACCTTATAAATACAGATATTTCATTGTACGGCAACCAGGAAAGTAAATGTATAACTGATCACATGACTTTATGTTAAACAGTTCACTATATTTACAAAAATAGTTTAAGTTGGCGGTTTATTTAAATGTTTCTTTTAATAAATTGAATTATAAGGTCATCTAAACATGTAAATACCTTATTCCATATGGGTTTGACAAATGATTTTTAGTTAGATCGAGTGACTGGCAGATTCCCATTAATAGTTTGTATAAGCTTTACAAGAGTAATAATAAAGGAGAATTCCATCATACAGAACACAATCTTTAGATTATTTGTTCATCCATCTCGAATAAATTGATAGCTATTTTGTCCAAGAAGTATGCATATATATAATTCTTTATCTTCGTACTTCACTTTGTCTTTTAAACTGTTTTGATTCGAGCGTCACTGATTGGTCTTTTGTAGACGAAAAGTGCGTCTGGCGTACACAATGTAATCCTGGTATCTATGATGAGTTAAAACTTTATCCCTTACAAACGTTTATAGAGTTTCAATACAGGTATCAAATTTCGTTGTCAAAAGAATAAATAAGCTGATTTTCAAAACCTATATAGGTCAACTCAATAGTTTTTTTTTTTTTCATTTTCAATTATCAGATTTGAATTTTTAAAATTAAAACCAGACAACATCCCCACAGTACTATGTTCAATGATTTGCAGCTGCTATTGTGTGAATAAATGTAAGATTTCGGTTTCAGTGCCTACCATTCTATATCTCAAATAACTTGTTTAAATGCGTCTTCGACTAAATTTGTTGGACGCAAGATAAGCAAATCATCATCGGAAGCATCAAAATCATAAGGGCCATTTACTAAAAATGCAAAATTTATAGTCTTAAGTCTAACTTGTCTAAAGGGGTTATTACCTTGGATACAAAATGTACGAACTTTAATTCTAAAAAGGATTAGAGAACTCAAGATTTTTAACGGATGATTCATTATTATTAATCCAGACGTATAAAAGTGTTTAACACTTCACAAATAGTTAATACAGCCTGAGCATAAACTTGGTCTCAAAATGTCATAAAATATTAGTTGTTGAACATTTCTTTTATGCAGATATAAAACGGAGCATGCAAAGTTTCCTTTAAATATATATCGAGGACAACGTCGCATAATGGCAACTTTGGATGCTTTAGTCGTTGATGAAAAGTGTCATCAATATATTTCATAGTTTAAGTAGTGACAATGAATTTTTGTTTGTTATTATAATCAATCTGTATTTGAGTTTGATTACATCACACAGCATAGTTGTTTTGTTTTTCAGTTGGTAAACAAACACAAGATACTTTCCGAAAGTGTTAAATGTTTTTATCGTGATACCGTTTTATTGCCTTCGAAATGTTTAGAACGAATGTCAATTATTTAAGAACGTATCTGTCTTTTTGTTTAGTTTATTTTCTATGTTTGTTAATTATTTTTTTGCTTCTTGTCTGTTTTAATTTTGAACAACACCGTTCAAAAATATTCCTTTTACAATTTTGCCGAATCAATTTTCATTTTGAACATTTTTAAGGTACACTCATACTAACACAAGCAGCAACCTGTTAAGATGTATTCATTCTGAGTTTTTTTCTGAATATTCCCCGTAACCGTTAGAAATAAATGAAATCGACAAGACTCTCCTTTTCTTAAATAACACTATAACTCATTTTACAGAATGTTCCAAAATCAAGCTTCTCACATTTTCTTTAGCTGTGTGTTAGACCTGTTTAGGGGTTAATATTAATTATTTTGACTTTTAATTTTAAACCTAAACATGATCACATAAGATGGTTGGGTGTTTTATAACAAACGATCAACAAAAACAAATATAATAGAGAGCAACCAACCAACGACAATTACTGAATTACAGGCTCTTCATTTCGGAGACACAAAGAATGTGACAGGTTAACATGTTCTTGAACGCTAAACTCACCAGATCGTCACGAAGCACAAACGTATAAATGACAAGACAATTTTAAGGAATGAATATTTCGATTACCACTAAAACAAAAGGTATGCTCGATAGGGGTAGACATTTTGCATTGCAACAAACCACATACGGACCACTCAGAAAGTTGTTACTAGCATTCCGTAATGTGCAGAGAGAGTACATGAGAAATCGGATTTAAAGTCCCTTTTCCCATCGGAAAGCTCAAACCAAAAAATTTGAAAAACCAAGGACGATAAATACATGAACATGTTAGGAGATATATGACAAAAAAAGACCAAAAAATAAATGCCAAATACATCTGAGCAAGATGGAGCCTAGTTACTTTCTAATTAATTTATCATTAAATCTGTTGGTGATGTAGTGATTGGAATTTTAGTCTGATTTTATTATTAGTTGTAATTGGGCTGTTTGTGCCTGCCCAGGCCGAGAGCCTGTCTTCCAATTGTTATTAATATGTTTTAGAAGCAATATTTTCCTCTGATATTTATTTAGTAGTTGTTTGGCCAGTTAAAGCTCATATGGTATCATACTCGATCAGTACTATATGATAAGGTATCTCGAAACTCTAAGAATACTGTCAATTTCATGAATTAGATTACCTTTACTACAAAATGTCAAAGAATTCTTTAACAAACAAAAAAATATCTCCGATACCAATATTTGACATGTTGTGTATATAATATAGCTTTTTCAATATCAGACAAATGTATCAACCCTCAACCAGTAACATATTGGTGACCCGGAGGTTGACATAGGTGTGATATTGAAAAAGCTGTTAAATGAATTTGCACGGGGTAATTCAAGAAATGGGCTGGTAAGCTTAAAAATACCAACAATCCATTTAACGTTTTCACACAAGTTTAGCTGATAATGTTAGATTAATCAATTCTAAATAACATGGAAAAGAAAAAAGTTCTTTAAAACGTCATGAATATCGAATTTAAAATTTAGATGTCTAAAAATATTCAATACAAATGAAAAAAAATTTGAGGTAAACTTTTAGTCCAAATGTCCGAAATTAAAAAAAACACAGATTTGAATGATTTGTCTTCTGTCACAATAGTGTGCTGGTAAACTTCACGAAAGACTTTTATGTTATTTTCAGGCATTTTTTTCTATTATCGATTAATTGAATGATCGATCGATTGATTGATTGATTAATGTATTCATTCATTCATCTATATATTTATTTATATTTTTCATTGTTATTACTCTGGTGTTGTTGTTCTCATATTGACAATGGTAATATGTATGTGCCTTTTCTATGTTCAACTTAAAGAAAAAAGGTGTATTCTTACATTCTTACATTTGTTTATTAGACACAGACTGCTCGGAAACATGTTCTACTCCAGCACATCCTTTTTCTGCCTGTCCTTAGTAAGGAGTCTGTTATTTAGTGGTTGTTATTGTTGCTGTTTCCCATATTAGTTTTTCGCTTATTGTTTTAGAGAAGGGACGGCCGTTGTTTTTCCTCGTTTGAATTGTTTCCAATTTTGTCATGTCGGTGTTTTTTAGCTGACTATACAGTATGGGTTTTGCTCATTGTTGGATGCCGTATTGTGACATATAGTTTCATACATCCACGTCCTTTAGTTCTTTGTGGATGGTGTCTGATTGGCAACCATATACCAAATCTTCTTATTTTCATATTGTCTATCACGCAATGGGTAACAACGAAAAAATGGTGTGAGGCAATTTTCTATTTTAATCCCGAAACATCAAACTGCTGAAAAGACAAAAAGTACAAAGTAAGCAATGTACCGTATTGTCTTGTGCGTCATTCACTAGTGTTTAGTAGTATTGCTGAAAGCGCAATTATTCTCATTATAGAACTATTACAACTTTGCATTTAAGTGAATGAAATGCAGCTCTATGACTTGTTGCTTTTTTGTAAGTTCTGATCATCAATACTTAGTAAAACAATTAAGATATATCTCAAGCTCTATTGAAACAAATATATAGTCAGTAGAAAACAGAATGAAGGTGTATATATATAAATATATATCTAATAGCTTGTATTATATATCTAATATCATATACAATGAATAATGTATAATCAAATAAAATACACATAAGGCAATATCAGAATTAAAAATGTATACCCTTTAAAACAAGTCATATTTTATGAAAGACATAACAGCATTATATAAGATACAAATTGTACAGTTCAAGTTTAGATCATTCTTATTGAGCACACAAATCACAGTAAGCCTAATTTTGTAAGATCGAAGACCTGTAAGTGAACAAATCACTGTACAGCTTTTTACTAAAACTGTCAACATGTTTACTAATATGTGGATCAACCTGATAAAAAAGTAATCAGCTATCGATATGTTTAATTTTTCGTAAGACGGTAGCTCTGTGCAGCAAAAGCTATTGCTTTAATCATGTCTTCTTAAATTTTTGGAATTAAATTTGATTCGCTTAAAATTTAGTGTTAGATAAAACTAAAATGGTCCATTTCTTTTCTGTTTTGGAATTCAACTTTCAAATTTGCTCTAAGTATTGCATTAGATCGTATCGTCTTCCACTTTTAATCCCAAGGATTGACTGGGGTATAGAAATATGGTCATTCCTTGGTCTTTTAACGACCGGCAGTAAAACCCTTGACAAAGTGGGGCGTCAGTTTTGCTGCGCGGAATGTATAAATTCGCCACGTCCGGTCAGAATGGGGAATTTAAACCCATTGATTTGTGTAGAGAGAGTGTAACGCTCTCTGCACATTACGAACTATGCAAAAACTGTTTGATAGATCTGTTTGTGGCCTGTTTCAAGGATACAGTTTTGTCCCTATCCAATATATGCTAATTTTATAGAGCCATTCCAAATTTCCCGCCCTTCGTCCCGGTTGACTCCCTTTTGCAGTACCTGAACATGCATCAAATATTTGCCATTGGACCTTATACAATCAATCAATAAATCTTTCAATGTTCGTGAAGTAACAAAGCAAGGGTTATTTTTTGTTTGCTGTATATCATATTTGTATTTTGTTCATTATATTTTACATAAATCATGCCGTTAGTTTTCTCTTTTGAATTGTTTTACATTTATCATTTCGGGGCCTTTTA